TACCAGTATGTGAATTTAAAATGCTTTCAGCGGATTTCCGAGCCTTGTAGTGCACGGTTCTCGCTTCAACAAGGACTGTTTTCTTAGTATACTTTGATGATGCCAGTGTGTTTTACTATGTAATAAATCTTATCTCACAAATGCTTCTCTTATTTCCCTAAGTAATAAGGGATGTCGATACCCAGCCTGGGTCAATCCTATGTTGCGACAAGTACCAACGGGGGGGGGGTCGTATTTTGTTGAGTTTGTAGGTGGGAGGGTCGTACTCGCTCTAGCCTCATGAATTCACATGTGAAACTGGAGTGTTGCGTGAGAGAACATGGATAATTGGCTGAGGAAAAAGTGCGTGGAGTCAGGTGTGTCGATTGGTCCCAGAATTAAATGCTTTAGACCATGATGGCGGGGGTGGTGAAGGGGGGAGGGGCGGGGGATTGCGAATATTTTTGATTGGAAGAGGGGTCGTAAAAAATTTCCGAAAAGTACCAACGGTAAGGTCGACCCTGTACCCAGGTCGCAGGAACTCGCAGAAACTCATGAGCATTCCTCGCGGGTTTTTCAGGCCTCTTTGACACTTCAGCTCCCGAATTAGGTTTTGATAGCTTCCTTTGCATATGCTCAATTGTGCAGCGTCGGTTTAGAAAAAAAAAATCAGTGATTTAGAAGGATTTATCTGAGGAAGACGGTCCATATTTTGTGTTCATCGCACACAGTCAATTAATGATTTTCTGCTGCAAGAACAAGAAAAAAGTGGGAGGGGAGGGGCGCGGGGCGGGGTGTACTTGGAAACTCCTGATGAAGCGATTTCTCATCAATAATTCAAGCGTGAACGAATGCGAAGGCCTACACGGGCCTAATATGGGAAGCCACCCACTACCGTTACCCGAGTCGATCTCGGGAGAGTTTTCGACCGCCTTCGCAGTAATCAAAACGGCTCAATCCGAGAGGTGGTCAAGAATATCGGTTGAACGTGAAATTTCCAAGACAATCGGTTCACTGTGGAGATTTTCATGCAGCATTAAGCGCTCGAACAAGAAGATAGAGCCGCCTCCTCGCACGGGGCCATGAAAGTTCGAAACCGGTACGAGAGCAACTTTTGGAACCTAGTCGAGTTCAATGAGTTAATGAGTATGTTGTTTCGATCGGTTTGAATGACGGCCTCCATCGATGGTTATCGGATGTGGTTGGGGTACGAACTTAGCCCCTGGAGAACTTCGCAATTGTCAACAAATACTCTTGAACGGAGTCCGTAGACCGATCTCTTATTGACATGCATCACAGATCGCAACAAGTAGGTCAAGGAGCAGTTATTCTTCGCTTGCACGTGGGATAGTTTCGAAATCGCGCATCGGCGGACGAGCCATTACGAAAGAGCAGAACGAATGAGAGACGGCCGACAATACCGAGTGGTCCCCCCCCCACCCTAGTTAGCTATCAGAACACTATGCGCTCGGAGTTTTTCGGATTCGTCATGGAACCTACGGTCATTCAGCCGGGACAAAAAGAACCGCGTAGATGTAATGCAACGTTACGGGCCACCGCGGTTTGAATCACTGAGCGCTGACCCACGAAAGAGCTCTTGTATTTTAAACGTTAGGAGAAAGCCTGAGAGGGGACACTCCCGAGTCGGTGAGAAATCCTCGTTTCCCCCAGGGACGCAGGACTTTTATCCTCGTCGCAGAGGTTGTCAAGCTGTTCCGAGAGCACTATAATTAATATAGAAAACTGGAGAAGTAAACGTAGGGTAACGCGATACATTTCGGTTCTACATTTAAAAGTCTCGTTGGAACGCAGACTGGCGTAGGCGGGTTTCGAACAGTTATACGACCCTCTTACCGGGTTAGGCCCAAAACGGGTATTTTGTTTCTTTTCTTTTTGACTGACTTTCATAACAGATTGCAGGCTACACTGAAGCATGTCAATCGGGAAATTTCCAAGCATTCCATCACTGCGGGACAGATTTCCAGCTAAGATGTTAGAACGATGACCGCTTCAGAACCAGTCAGTATCAGAGTTCTTAAATCTCCCGTTCCTCACAGTGAAGTGAAATTGAGATCGCGTAACGAGATGAGCATTTCAATTACTTGTGTTTTCGATGAGTTATGTGGCCATGATGTTGCGGAACTTCACAGAGAAACGTGGGAGAGGAATGGAGCACCGAGACAAATGCAGCGGTGCCTCGGTGCCGATAAGGGGTCAGACCGCTTGAAAAAACCGAAATGTGAAGGTGAACACTCGGCCGTACCATATAAGGCGCCAAATGTCTAGGATCTCCTCTTTGATTGTCACAGCAGAATCAGATTTCAGACGTCTTTCATTTCGACTAACTTCAGAATGCTCGTCGTCGCACTGCTGCTCCTCGTCGGTTGTGCCTCCGCCCAGTACGTTGCCCGCCCGTCTGGTTACGGTAGGAACGACCCGGGTGCTGTAAGAAATGTGGCCAGGACGTCACCACAGATCAGGCCTGTCGACTACACCAGCGTAAGTCTCTAACAATACAGGTCGCAGCAGTATCGAGATTCTGTTCTAATTGTTCAGGGAGGAGGCAGCACAAATACAGGCATCAGAAATGGTCCAATCCAGAGCGCACCAGCAGCACCAGCGGTACCAGCTGGGGGTAGCGGACCATCAAATAATCAGGTAAGCCACTCAACCCTAGCTAGTGATCAAGTCTGGAGAGAAGATAAGTCACTAGCACCTTTCAGGGAGGACCTGATGACAATGGCGGCGATGCCCTGGGCAATGCACCCATAGCGAGCAGCCCAGTTGCCGCACCTCCTCCGTTCAATCCGTTCAGCTCCCCTCAAGCATCAGGATCGCCACCGAGTGGAGATCAACTGAACAGCTTGCCGCAGAACAGCCCTCCAGTGCTGAGCAGCCCCGTAAGGAAATTTCATATATTTAAGGGCGATATTGATTAGTAAGAGCATTTTTCAGAGCGGTGGTGGCGGTGGCGGCGACGACGGCTGCAGTCCTGGGGCACAGAGTGGTCCTGCTTCGGGACCAGCACAAAGTGCTCCTGTTCCAGGCGGGCCAACGGAATCACTCGGAACCATTCTCATCCCAATCAGTGGCGGTGCTAGTGTAAGTGGCGCTGTCCAAGCGAACGGCCAAGCCAGTCCACCTAACGTCGGCAGCTCTCCTCCAGCAGGATCATCCAGGCCCGGACCAGGATCTGGCGGTTACCCCACAAGACGGCATTAGGTCTATCAATTCATGAGCTTGAATTTCTTGTAAAAATGCTTTATTTGTTTATGGGTTACAAAATAAATATTGTGCCAAGGGTTTTTGCACCAATCGATCAATGAAAATAAAACAAAGAAAAACTGGACTGGTTGATTTCCAAATTTTGAGTACACCTTCCAGATGCTCATACCGTTCTCTGTACCCACTAAATGTGTTCCCAGGATCTTATACTGTATTTTTACTTGGTACGTGACCATACAGGACACCTGATGGGCAATAGAATCATCACGTGAATGAACTTAAAGACCATCAATTCCAACAGTTTTGACGGTCGAGGGCAAAGATGCAGAACACGTTTTCATTCTCTGCTCTACCCGGTATGTTAGGAGTTACCGAAATCAATCATTCATTTTTCCGGATAAACAATTCGGATAAAATCCGATGAAAACGCACCTCTCCTTCGTAGGTCTGCATGTCAGAGTCGTACACGGAATAGCCCGTTTTCTGTCCCGACTTTAGCGCCACCCAAGGAATACCGGCTTACGTTTTGTGCTCTGAAAAAGACAAACTCAATTCTTTCAACAACTTGGTGTTGTGTGAAACTGAAGACATTGCACAAAAGCACTGATTTTGTGTGCTTTCCTTTTATGTTTTTTTTCCATTTTTCCCAGAGGGGCCCTATGATGTCATAGGGACTTCGCTATGAGACCTGATTTACCATCGAGAAAGCAGCTAACGACGGAGGATTATTAGCACCGGGCACCTAGGGGAATAGGGCTTGAGTTATCCGACTCATGCGACCATCGCAACCGCCCCTCCCCCCCTGAGACAGATGTCAAGCGCCGAGCGTACCGAACAAGCGGCCCAGTTCGCGGCACCCAGAAGGCAGAGCTCAGCCGACAAATCACTACCGCGTCGTGATTACGACGTACAATGTTACCACCCGCTGTTTTGCAGGAATCTTCCGCGGGAAAAGCCCGCCTCCCACTTACCACCCAGAACAACGACTACCCTCTAGGCCCCTAGCTGCTATGCTATACGAAATAACTTCGCATAGCAAAAAAGAACGGAACATAAGCGTTAGTTTCGATAATACTAATCCTACACACAAGACAAAATGATCACTCTTTCCGTGGAAGATTCCTTTAAGGTATCGTTTTCTGTGGTAATGAGGGCGGAGCTTTTTCCGTGGAGATTCCTTTCAATTTGACGCGAAATCACAATAGTAAGCGCTGCGACTCGTCCGCTGACTCTGCCTTCTTGCCGCGCGACGGGCCTCCTGTCGGGTACCCAGCGGACGCGCTGAACTATGAACAACGCTTTTCACCGACAGAATTTTCTTTAGAACCATTTTTGTGACGGGACTGTAGCCAAAAATAAAGTGTCCGGGCTGATAAGGTTCAATTCTTTCCAAAAAGCTTTCTGAGCAAATCTAGGCGCACTGGTGAAAGCGGTGGACAGCCTTCAAAAAGCAAAACAGCGGATGAAAAAGATGATAGGAAGGTCAGTTGGATAGAATACTTACTAGTGCAATGTAACTCTGGGTGTTCTACGCAAAGCCTGTCGTTAGCGCTTGAGATCAAACAAGGAGATCAGAGCGGTCGCGATCGGCCGCTTAACCCATCGATAAAACCCGCTGCCGCCTCTCTTTCTGCATATTTTCGCCCCCCCCCAGTTTTAGCTTCCTCATCGAATTTTTCCTTCCCTTTTACATTTTTCTTCTTCTTTTTCGCAATGATCTTCCTCCCAGTGATTTCGCTGACGAGTTTACATGTTTTGTACAGAAAGAAGCGTTCAACCCAGGCATTTGGAACCGCGGCAAATACTTCATTGTAAACGCTTCTGAGCCAAGGAGATGAGATGTGGGGAAAGGAAGTCCAGGAGTGGGGGGAAGATTCTTTTGAGGCCAGGGATTTGTACACCGTCCCCTCCCCCCCTCCCCGTTGAACTTGGTGTAACGCACGGTTGACGCTGCTCCTTCTTCTTCTAGACACCCTCCGAAACCCTCATCTTCCTAATTCACGATTGTTCTTTGCGCCATTCTACACCAAAAGCCGTACAGCTTGAAAAAGTGGAATTAATGGGTCACATGAAGAAGAAGGAGTAGGAATTTCACGCTTGGCACTTGATAACCTTGAAAGATTCCTTTTGTGGTATTGGACTTACCGTAACCCGCACGAGCTATTGCACCAAAATAAAATCACATCTCCCTTCCCCACCCAAGCACAGGAACACCTTCATTAGCTCTGTTTTCTTATATAGTTTGACGCGAGCACATTTTTTAAAATTATGTTTTCAATTCAATCAGAGGGTATATTCTAACTAGGGGGGCATCATGATGCAGCACGCATTTCAAGTGACTGCCCTCATCCCCTCCCCACCCTCTAGACTGGCTACACTACCCTGCCCCCTCTAACTGAATAGGACCCCAATGAGATTCACATATTAAGCTACATTGTTTTTACACGGTCGGGTGTGATGTCGTAAATCGCACACTCAGCAGACACAGTGCACCAAATGACAGTCAGAAGTCATTCAAAAGACTCATACGAATGTTTTTCAAAGCCGTTAAGTGTGTGTTACTTTGTGTGCAAATTACGACATACTTGTCCCGGGGAATAAAGTGTGCTCAAGATCGGTCGGATTTCAAAGCTGAAAACTCACTTCACCTTTAGTAGGGATTGCTTAAGAAAGATTCAGTAAAAATATGGCAAAGGTGAAAAGCGACACTCGTTGTTAGGCTCAGATATAGGGGTTTTGACCCGATCGTCTCCGGTTGTTGCCATTTTACCCTGTCGTTAGTTGTTCGAACTTAAAATATAACTTCTCTGTGATATGGCATAGTAAGGCTTTTTAGGCCGATGTCAGACTTTGCGAATCGCGCGATTCGCTAGCGTCTGCGGTCGCGTCGCGGCCAGTGAATCACTCAATTGGCTGGTACCGCAACGCGACCGCGGACGCTAGCGAATCGCGCGAATCGCTAGTAGCGAATCGCGCGATTCGCAAAGTCTGACATCGGCCTTAAAGATTTTCAAGGTTGTCTGGAGTTGTCTTCCGAGCGGCATGAGATGATCACCTCGTGGTAAATCCTACCATTTTCTCACAATTGACTCTGGCTCCATCCACTCAAAGTCAAACACCAAATGGTGACCTGGGTAGCAGGTTCTTGTGGGAGGGTAGAACTCCTTAATTGCTGCATCATCAGGCCTGGAAATTATTCTAAATGTCAAAAATACGCATTCAGAAGCCACCACAAATCAGATGAAGTACTCTGCGTGGCGCATCCTACAAGTGGCGCCAAAGAATTTATCCTTTTTTCTTCATACTTACGCGTCATATTCCCAGCTAAGGTAAAGCGTGTGATCGGATGCGACCAACTTTTCGCAAGTGGTGAGTGGCGATCGAAGCTGCATACACTGGGCCGACAGCTTCGCAAGATCATCGATGGCTTTGCAGACCGTTGGTGATCTGTGAAATTTGAAATTATTAGGAGTTTTGGGAGGCCTAAATGCGTGTTAATTCAATACTAGGAGAAAAATTCATAGGGCCAGTTTCAAGGTGGACAGTGGCAGTCATAAGGATAAAGTCTTTGATCGCTTGTATCAGAGCGTCGGATGAAAGCTTATGCACAAGGTTTGGAAACAAGGTCGCCATCAAATTCTGGGCCTCTGGTCTCATTCGGCAGAGAGATTCAATCAGTCTCACTGTCCACTAGATTCACATTCCATGAGCAAGGTAAAGATTGGGAAAACGTAGGCCATCCATGAGTAGATTAGGTCTGACAACGAAGTTAAGGACTGTGCTGTTTTCGCGGCTCAAGCTTATACGGCACAAAACCGGAGGTTCCTTGTTCACGAAACAGTGATTCAAGCAGCGAGGTGTCTGCGCCTCGGTAGTTACCATGATCTCTCGTATGGTCTCTCTTCTCGTCGCATAGTGTCTCGTCGTAATAGCCCTGACTACCTCATTAAAAAGGGAGGCTCCTAAAGGGGAAATGTAACATCTCTCTAGGTTGGCTGATTTCGGCACGTTCTTGAGATGTCAAGAAACTAGTAAGTTCTGCAGACCAGAAGCCCACATGCAGTGAGGGGTGATCGCGACCTGGGTAGGATGTTCTGGTTCGTGGCCTACTTCAATGGACCATCCCACACCCCCCCCCGCTCACTTCGCCATTGAAATTTGGCCGGTATTGCAGAATCGCGGCAAAAAAGGAGCTGGGGTTCTGGAATCTGTTGCCACGGACATCTGAAGCATCAATGCGAGCCCACAATTGTAGCATCTCACCGTCTCACTTTCTGCTGCTTTGTCTTCTCCATCTGTCCTCCCCTCGCCCCGGCCCTCAGTTTGTCTTTTTAGGGCTCTCCATCAGTCTAAAAAGGAATGGGGTAGGGTGCATTTTGAGTTATACCTTTCCCGGTTTTCTACAGGTCCATTGGTACCTGATTTTCGTAATCACGACATTTAGCTCGTTTTTGCCGGTTTTTGCTCTGGTGGAATATGCCTTGAAACGAGTGAAAAGTTGATAAAGGCAACGATCAAGCGTGCGGTCGCGACGCGGCCCGCACGTTCACATGCTACAATAACGACTTGCAGGCTGCTGCGCGAAATAGTGTTGCAAACTCGTAACTTATACAACAATTCAAGCGAGACTGTACTCGGGAATATGGGCTGCTCTAACATCAAGGTGGTGGTACGGCAGTTGTTCTGGTTCTCTTATGACTGAGATGCAAACCCTCAGCATGAGCTAGTCTGTGAAACAGATTGAGAGAGAGAAAGAGCTCTGTAACCCAAGAAACTACTGTAGGCAGAAAAGTAGGGTGCAGTATTTTGATAGAAACGCTTTTGAGACTCACTGCAACTGCTTGATCCTCATGGAGTCGAGTCGAACAAGTGTGGGGCCAAGAACGGGGCGCAGGTCGGCCGCAACCTCCATGTCAGCAGCAGCAAGATGCAATGAATGTGCAGCTCGTTAACAGCACACCATCCATGAATTTCTGACCGCTCACCATCACCAGCCACACTGTGCATGCATGATCATCGCGCACCCTGCGTCTCGTCGTAGCGCGCGCTGCCTTCGCGGATAGCGCGCGCCAGCCGCGGTGCCTTCCATGTCACGCAAGCCGCCTGGCCTCACAACCAGCATCAGCTACCGTAGCCCTCAAGCTGCTTGACAATGCATTCGAAATAAAAAATTATCATGTCGCGAGCGGAACTCATACTGTTGTGGGGGGGGGGGATCGGGAAGACTTTACGGGTTGTTGTGAGCATTGGAGGGATTCATGACAGAGCCGGAATCGGGAAGTTTCCTTCTGGACACCCTGACATTTCGAGAAATGCCGGTACTCCTTCTAGGCAACCTACAATTCTACGACGGAGGCTAAGATCATAAGATGTTTTACACCGGAACTGGCCCGCAAATTTAGCTGACATCGCTTCGCAGCTCAAAACATCAGGATAAATTTGCTTCTATTAAGGTATTCCTTCACTATTTTCAGTACCCAAATGCGACTTTCCTTCAATCCACGCCTAGGCAGAAGAGCTGGAGTGCTGGAGAACCAAATAGGAGTCGCCAGTTGTGGGTAGTGAATGAGCGCTTAAACTCACTACTGATAATCTTGATATTTCAAGGCAGAATAGTTGATTTGACGGACGACAGTCGATTTAGAAAATGAGCCCTCGGTCCGCACATGGGCAATGGGATGCGTGGAAATGAGGGATGGGAAACATTTGAGCAAGCACTTCGGAGCTTTTCATCCCCTTTTGGGACAACTCTCTGTCTTTGGGACCAAGCTTGATATTGGTGCCCAGGGTGACTCGTTATGAATTTGGGAATGGGAACGATCTAATGAGCTTAATGGCAAAGGTGATGCTTCTTCATCTCAACCCCCTCCCATTATGCCGCCCTCATCACGGGTTCCTATGACTGTGAAATGAACGAGTCATGTTCAGGTAAGTGCCAACGCCGAGTGGTCGTGGGTAGGAATGCTTGGGCATCCATCTTTCAGAGAGCTCCAAAACGAGCTGGGCGCCCCCATCTCTTCAACAGTCTCCCTTACAGGGTCAAGCGAGATGCGCAGCAAGGGTACCCTAAACCATTCATGGCTAACCCTCTTACCCTCATTATCCCCTTTATCTCTCAGTTATTCCTTTTAGCTTTGATCTCACTTCCCTATACTTTTTCGCAAGACTGGATTTGGTAGAATTTTTTCAATTTTTTTCTAGAAAACCCTTGAAAATTTTCCTTACACGCTGCCTTACTCTGAGCCCTTTGGGAACGAAACTTTTAGAGCTGGCCCCTACCCCATGATCCACTGTGATTCAAATAGCGTATCCTCCCCTCCCGCTTTCACCTCCGTCGGGGCTTTCTCGGGACATGCTCAACTCATATTGGGTAAAATGTGACCCCTCTTTTAACATGCACTTTAGTATGAGGGGTCAAATTAAGCCCAAATAGTCGTAAATAACATTGAGTCAAAACTGAGGAGTCGTTCGCGGTGCCTGTGGTTGGCACTGCCATTTCGAGTTCTCAATACAATAAGATGCTCCAACTATTTCCACCAATACTAAAAATCGGACCATGGGCCGCTCATGTGGCTAGACTCACCGATGATCGCTGGACGAAGAGAGTGACTGACTGGTACCCAAGGGGAAAAACAAGGCCCAGAGGCAGACCCCCACCCGATGGGCAGACCCTCTCGTAAAATTGTACGGCCAACTGTGGCGCAGAAGAGCCCGAAGCAGAGCGGCTGTGAAGATGTGCGACCTGTGTTTCTGAACTGCCGGGACGAATAGCGGTTGAGAAGACAAGTAACCGGAGTAAGGAGCATTAGTCTATATAGGTTCATCTGGCCTAAAAGTAGGCGTTGGGCAGGATCCGTGCGACAAACGTCTTTTGTTTGTCAACTTCCATGTTATATTTGGAGAATGCACCACGTTGAGCTACAGTTAGCCTGAAGCCAAGAGTTGTTGCATTCAATCGAAACTCAACATGGGTAGCTTAGATATCTTGAAGACTAAGAAGATCCCTCGACTCGCGAAGACTCTTCG